GGGGGTTGGAAAAGGACCTATGCATTGAAGGCAATAGCTTTGATGCAAGAGCGTTCATGGACCTATCTGACTGGGAAATTCACTTCCCTAAACAGGACATTCACTAGCCTGTCTTTCGAGTCTCAGATTAAGACAAATTACACTGTTCAGAGGTGAACACGTTCGCCTGCTCCGAAGTGACAATCAAATGCGTCCAACGCGCCCTGATGCGGCGGTTGTAACACAGGATGTTAGGCGTCTCGGTGGAATGCTTTGATGGGAATTGAGAAGAACTCATACTGTTTAAAACAATTCAGACCCCTGTCGCTTCAATCATGGAATAATATTGCGTTTTTATGCTCACCATCACATGGCCCGGCATTTCAAATAGTTTGTAATGGTTTGTGCACCGGTCATGGATGGTCCATCATATGTTTATGTTTGAAGGACTTGTTTCATGTTTGGGGAGAATGTCTCAACGAATTTCAAGGAAGACAAATAGGAATAGTGGACTAAATCATCCGAGAATTTCAGTTAAGATTTCTTCTTGTTGGATGCGGACACCTGACTCCTACAATTGGCAGGTTAGGGGCAATTAGAGGCATCTCAGTCACAGATTTTCGTCCGTGGTTAGGGGCAATTAGAGGCATCTCAGTCACAGATTTCCGTCAGTGTTAGAACAATTTAGTTCGGAGATTGCGTGGATTTTAGTGAGTGTGAGTTTTGTTGTGCGGACCCAAACCAGTTCTGTTGGAGAAACCTCAAAGAGGCTAACGGCATACTGTCACGTGGCAACTTGCTTGATTGAAAACAACTCTCCACAAGCTCACCATTTCTACATTGCTCATTTAATTTCAGTTGGAGTGCTTTGTGATCTGAACCACCTCAAACATCTCTCCTGAATACTGATCTTCGATTCCGTGCCTTTACATTTTCCCTGATAGTTATAATGGTTTCAGTATCTAATGCATACCCTGATATAGCTCTAACTTCAACTATCGCCCGGTATTGATCTGTTACTCTTCGTCTGTGTCTACCGATTACGTCGTGTTGTTTTTCTCCAAAGTACACTAATTTGCAGGCCAGTCAATTTGGAGACTTCTTCGTTTGCCCCCCCACCCCCACCCCAAAAAAAGCGAAACATTACCCAGAAATTATTCACCGATAACCCGAATTATCCTGAATGGTCCCACAGTTCTGATCCATTGAGGAATCTCTGCGTCACCTTACATGTATCCACTGAAAGCCTGTACTCGACACATTGTTAAATCAAGTTCACCTGCGGGCCCTCCGAAAGCTATCTCAAGTAAGCACAATCTAAACCAGATGGTAAAACAGTGAAGGCGATTGACCACGTGACGAAGCCGCTTGGGTTCAAAGCCTGTCTGTACCCAAGAATCATCTAAGGTCGATGCTCAAAAACCATTCACCCACACATGATGTATTTTGTTCTCAATTTAGGTTACTTGTCAAGGAGACCATAAGTTTTGTTAACTTAACAAGCACCTAAAACGACACAGATCTGTAGTCAGTCTTCACGATTGTTGTCAAAATGCCAAATCTTTTAAGCTGTTTGTTGGCTCAGAAAAATATGATGTGCGATTTTCCCCGATGAGTCTGCCCATCGAATATTCAGTTCTAAAAGATTTACTAGGTTGAGTAAATGACGAGTGGAATCATAAGTGCGTAACCTTCATCACGTGAGAATTCGGTTTCTTCTCGAGTATGATTTATGCTTTACTCACTTAATCAGCTGTTACGCAGGTTTAGAATAGCATCTATATGGGATATTTCGTGTCTTCAGCTAGATACTAGGTGTTCCCTATTCGGAGGTCCCCTAATAAAGTGTTCAACTTTACAAAGTTATCAGCGAAACTATTCCTTCAGGCGTCGGCACCTATTTGACTGTTGATCACAACTTTTCATCTTTGCTAGTGCCTATCAATCGATCGATTGACGGTGGACACCATTTAACAACCAGTATTACCTACGACAGCGATGCTGCACAGGAGAATTTTGTCGACCATTTCGATAAGTTGAAAATATCCGCCAGTTCACCAGCCCAAGCACATTCAAGACAACCAAACGACCGGCAGGTGAGTAGGTCTCAAACCCGTATTAGTCTTCATCTTTTTCAAATTTCTGTCCAGGAATAATGCTCCATTTAGCCCTTACCAGACGCACAGCCATTACCGTCTATTGATTTTTGGCCTGGATCACCGACTCTGTCTTCTAGTTTCCGGATGAATTTTAAACAGATCGATCTGCGCCTGATTTTACACAGGCTAAAGGGGAAAACCTCATGAGGAACGGATATAGTCCTCTCTGGCAAGCGGGTTGTGTATTTCCTGTAACAGTTGATTAGTGTTCATCATCCGGCTGAACACAAATGTTAGTCGATGTTAGATTCGGATGTCGAACAGAACAAGTGTTTAAATCTCAATTTAGCTCAGGGGTTTTGAAGTTGACCCTGCAAATAAATTCAGCGTACGCCTAAAACGACAAAAGTGAAGTGCCATGCACTCCAATGCCTATTCACCTGAAAAAATATGAACAGACCTTGCTTGCACTACTGGTTATCTTCATTTAACACTACTTGGACATCCCTGTTCCTCTTTTCTATGGTATCACTTCATCCTCAGTGAACTAAGATTTGGCGCGCGTCTCAGTGGCTGTTACTTAGTGCGTGAGTAAGATCAGGGTGCGGACACCCCTGTTCCTCTTTTCTATGGTGTCACTTCATCCCCAGTGAACTAAGATTTGGCGCGCGTCACAGTGGCCGTTACTTAGTGCGTGAGTAAGATCAGGGTGTCATGATTGCGGTGTCAGAGTGATTCCGAATGTGCACGTATCCTGACTTTTCCGTTTCGAACACGTGGTTACCGCGAACTTGGAGACCGCACAAATTATTCCTCGCATTTCTGCCGTCAGTCAGTCTGGCCCACTGAATACCTGCTAACAAGTGTGAAGGAGTTTCTTCCAAATATTTGTGCGATTTGTACGATTATTGTCGGTCCATCATTGCTTCCTCGTAAACGAAACGGAGGTATCCGGATTTCTCCCTGTTTTTTCTTCAGTTAAAACTTGTATCCTGCGTAGAAGGCACCCTGCAGAAGTAAAGGGCTATTGAGAACCGTTGTCGGTAGCTCACAAATTTAGAGGGAGATCTGAACTCGCAGTTTCTCCACTGTGTGTGCGTGCGTGCGTGCGCGTGCTTGAGCGTGCGTGTGTTCGTGCGTTTATTCGTGGATTCATGCATGCGTGCGTTCGTGGGTTCGTGGACGTGTGCGTTCATGGGTTCGTGCATGCTTGCGTGCATGCGTGCGTGTCTATATGCCACTGTGTGGGTGGAGGCGAATACTTGGATGTAAAGAGCCACAAATCTCTACGTACGGTGGACAGAAAAATAGGCTGTGATACCAGTAGGCTCACTATAGAAGAAAACATCAAAATAAGTATTCTAGAACATTCCCTACATATTGTCATTTGTCGTGTGGTTTGATATCAAACCGTAGCCACTGATAAGGCGAATATCAAAATAGGATCTCCGGAGTGTTTACCTAGATGAAGTTGGGGAGAAAAATCTTCCCCATACATATAAGAGGCTCATGGTTGGACCAACAGAACAGCAGGTGTGCAGAGTGTGACGTAACTTGATTAGAACGAATCAGACTGATGATGGTATCGTGTGTAGCAACCCTACTTTGTTCTAAGAATACAGTTAAAAAACTGAGGCGTTCAACGGGAGCTGAGATCAGGTAGTATAGATGTTTCACGGAAGGAGAGAAAAGGGCTACGTGGATAAATCTTTATACGCATGCCACGAAACTGTAGAGGCAATTGTCATCAAATCGCTCTCACTGGAACACTAACTGCCCAATTAATTAATTTGGTTCAGAACAAATTGAGAAGCAACGGGGTTTAACCCACCACTGGAACTTACCGCTTGCCTTACCGGGATTCAGTCAGTTGACATGTTAAGTGAAAGTAATGGCATTGCTTCAGTAACGCACTCCGGTAGCTGGTGCACCGTGGTCACGCTTGATCAGTCTGTGTATGTTTTCATATGACGTCCGAAAGGCAACCAAAATAACTTCCGTTGTTTGAACGATTGACGATTGTCCTGTCAGGTAGTCCCACGCACAAGCTTTATGAACGGTAAAGGCGCTCCGGATCGTTTTAACTCCAATCCCTCAAATACCACAAAAGCGTGATTTTATGTTTTAGAACATAGTACCACTCGGATTATTGGCTAACACCTCGTCTGAATTAATCTGCACCTTACTTACACAAAACACCGGAGCAAATTTTCTTGATGAGTTGATGTTTTCCTGATCTATACAAGAATGGGAGTGATCCTGACTACCAAAATTGCAGTGATGGCTATATACATCCGGTAGATTAAATAAACAGTTGGTTATCCCGGAAGATGAAAGAATCCTGATTAGATTAGTCTGTTCCCTTTGATTTCAGCCAACTCGTCGTCAAATTAGGAGGGTTAACTATGAAACTGGTATAGGTTAGTGGGAGAAAACCCCTATTTAGCCTGTCTACAGTTAAGATTTTTATTTTTTCAGGAACCACTGAAGTCGTCTGCCAAAATGGGTTTGTTAGCTTGGAGGAAAGTCCGCCTACCTTGGCTGGTGGCAAAAAGTTGAATTTACTTTCATACGATTTCGATTGGTGTGATTTGAATACACCCAAACAAAAGTTCCACAATTTCCGAGAACAAACAGTGGTTTGATCAGTCCTTCAATATAGTTTTCATGCTGTTTCGCATCCCTTAGCTATATCCGTGAGGATCGATCAATTCTTTACCGAATCAGAATCCAGCAATGGTATTCAACTAATCTAGTGCTGAGTTCAGACACTGCCTCACCTCAATGAAGGGTTTCCCATGCATACAACACATTTTTCCGTGTGGCTGTGACCTTGAAAAACCAAATACGGATATTGTTAGACAGTTACTCGGTACCTAACATCAAGCGATTGAATATAACCGTCACAAACGTGGATCAAATGACTGGTCATCTGTGGTTTCACAGGACTTCAAAAACACGAAGGCTTATCCAGTGCACGATGACCTCCGCTCAGCAATGCGGACCAGATACAACAAGGGAAACTTAATCTTCTTTCATATTCATCTCCATGACCACATACATACACATCTGATGCATCCTGTCATCATGCTAATTCAAACTTGGTGCAATCACGGAGGTGCCAAGTTCGGTTCAAGGCGGACAGAGGAATAGAGCGTGGAGTAGAAGTTTGGAAATCTGCACCAAATTGTCGGTCGGATATCGGAAAACGTTTCCCTAGTCTTTTCGTGTTGAAAAGAGATGGTAATGGAATACGTACTACGTTAAACGTAATCAAACTGCTTACCGACACCAGTATTTTACACACAAGGCTGATACTACCTTGTAACTGCAATAGATAAGGTAGTGCCCTTCATCGCACGGCATTGCACATGTTGGCTTTGAGAGAAGTATCGTCCACTTCAGTTTCGATGGAATCACAATTCTGGTACGCAGCTGCCCAATAGAACGGGACCGATTCTTCCAGGTTGAATAACACTTTTGTTTCCAAACACTATTCGTTCGTGAACTGATGGGGCTTATTTAACCTTAGTTGAGCACTACTCAAAATTTTGACAGCTGATTGCCGAGTTGTTGTATTCTCATGACTTCCGTTTGACTACTGATGAGCAACTCATGCCCTCATCGCTCCATTTTCCGTACGACGAACAAACCGGATGAATTTGGCATACATATTGTTTTCAACGTCCTCAGTTCAGATTTGATATGTTAACAGCCATTCATCAAGGGGCCAGTGTTGACGATAGTGAACTTTACTGATATTAGGAACCTTCATGTGGCTCAACCCCTTTTTTTGCTGCCATGATTAGGTCTGCTTTAAGTACCTCAAAGCAATTTTGTCATCGCCAAATTGCAAATTGACAGAATCCCCGAAGGCTTCGAAATCAGTCGGCTCTAGTCCGGAGTTCTCAATGTTCTGTTGTGATGTTATTGATCGAGTCAGGATATTCATATGGAGTGTGATCCAGTTCGGATTGCTTTCATACCCAACAGGTTTTGTTATTGTGAGCTTAAATTTTGGTCTTGATAGCAAATATAGAAAAGTTGTAGTTGTACCAAAGGGTTTGTTTTGTTTCGTTGTATGCGTGAGTATTTTGCTGTGTCCAGCAGCTTAGCTTAACGTGGTCACTTGGGTCCGCTGGAGACAGTCGGTGTGTTCTATTCATTCCTCAAGTGAGGTCATTCTGTATTGAAAAGCCAACAGGCACTTTAGAGCAGTTTTACCCTAGTTTTGATCATTAGCAGTGCTCTTATTCGAACCCATGACTAGGTGCTCAGTAGATGAAGACCATGTCTTTCGCCAGCGACCACATCTGTATTGAAAAGCCAACAGATACTTTAGAGCTGTTTTGTCCTAGTTTTGATCTTATTCGAACCCACGACTAAGTGGCCGAAAAATGAAGACCATGTCTTTCGCCAGCGACCACAAAGTGCTTTTCTTGTCGGGATTTTGCACAGAGATTATTTATGTGACACCTATGTAGTTTTACTGCGCAAAGGCAAAGGCGAATTATTCGGCTTCACGCGTTCGATTTACGCGAGTAGTTCCAAAAAAGGAATGTTGAAACGAACAGTCTAGCTTATCCGTGAACCCGTCCACACAGTCGGTGAATTTAAAATTCCCCAACCAATCCATAGTTAGCTTAGAAAATCAACTTAGATTACTGTATTCGTTAAGTTCGGACCACCCGACATGGTTAAATTCAAAATGCATGGTTGAAAGACGTACTTGCAACGCATAGCAAGTAGTAAGAGGGCCACCGTGTCGTGGTATAGCCAGACTATTTCACTATTAGGCCCCGATTCGCGGAGTCCTTAATCAATAACCCGATCACACGGTATAGATCCATCCACATATTTCATAAATACAAACACACCTTTCTCCTCAAAGAAAGATAATCGTCCTACGAGTTTCGGCAAGGTCTTCGAGACCTGGGATTTTAAAGCCAAGCGTTTTGATGAACTTTGATAGCTCCCAGTAGCTACTGAGAAGAA